ATGTTGGTGACAGAGCCCTGGAACAGGCTGCCCAGGGAGGTTGTGGAGTCTCCTTCCCTGGGGGTCTTCAAAACCCGCCTGGATGCCACCCTGTGCCCCATGCTCTGGGTGTCCCAGCTGGAGCAGGGCGTTGGACTAGATGATCTCTAGAGATCCCTTCCAACCTCAAGCATTCTGTGATTCTATGATTCTCTGAAAAAATCACACTTCTGACACCATCAGATCTCAGATGAAAGGTTTGCTTAGCCCCAAGTCACCTCTTCATCAGCATTCAGTAATAGGTGTTTGAAGAAAGACTATACAGAAAAAGCAAAAAAAAAAATCTGAAGGGCTTGTGCTCACCAAATCTCATCTATTATTTATAATTATATTGAGTGTTCTACTAGAAATATTTCTGAATATTAAAACATTTGCCTTTTTCACATATGTGTAAGGAATCATAGCTACAACATGCTATTACTGAAAGAAATAAGGTGTGCATACTCCCCTTGTATGGCCTTTCTGTTCCCAGCAGCTGAGCCAGAGACTTAACCTGCACTACCATGTTTAATAGCCACTATTGAACTTGTCTAATATCTTTGAACCTATTTATACTACAGATGGTTAAAACCTCCCTTAGTCTCTACAATATGACTTGGCACTCAAGTTTTTTTTTTTTTTTTTTTAAATCTGCTGCCTGGTAACTTCATCACATGCCTATATATTCTGTAGATCACATATTCAAGTGTTATATAAACTGTACTTTGCCTTTCTCCCCAGGATAATCTCTAACATAGTCTTCTTTGTCTTTTTTTTGCTAAAAAAATTCATATGCCTGCTCTCCATGTCTCACTATCCTCATCACCTTCTCTATAATACTTTCAGTTTTAAAAGTCCCTGCATCTCAAGGGATATAGAACTGCATGAACTTTTCAGGATATGGGTGAACCATGGATTTATACAATTGGGCAGTAATAACTTTGATTTCATTCTTTTCCTGTAATACCTAACATCAAATTTTCTATTTTACTTGCTGCTGGGTGTTATGCTATTAATATTTGCAGACAGCTACCTATAAAAATGGTTAGGTATCTTTCCTGAGCCAAAAGAGAACATTTCAACAACAAAGCTTCTAAACTCGTTGGCTTATTTTCCACACATATGCATAACTTGCACACATGCATAACTTCAGAATTCATCAACATTCATTCGGTTTAGTCTGACATAAAATCCAGTTCAGAGAAATTCTTCTGCAGTTATTGAGAGACAGGTTTAGGATCCTTAACCTAACGTCACATCATCAGCTAATTTTATTGTTTTATCATTTACCTCTTTCCAAATCATTTATCAATATACTGAACACCAATGGGGGACCAAACTGCCATTCCTCCCATTATGAAAACTAAGCATTACTCCTTCTTTTTCTTCTTACCTTTCCCTGCTGTCTTTGAGGAATTTCCTTATTGACTACATACTTCCTTTACTAGCCTTTATATTTTTTAGAAATCTTTCTTAGAACATTTTAAAAACATGCAAGTACAATGTACTGACAGACCCACTCTTGTTCACAGGATCCTTCAAAGAACCTAATTCTAATAGCAAAAGGGCCCAATAGATAAAGGGCCCTCATAGAGCATGAGCACGATACATGTGTGGGGCATCACTTGGCTCTTCAGAAGACATGCTGCCTCCTTCTCCACAATGGCATGCATGCAGCACAAAACAGGTAACAACCCTTTGAAACCACACACCAGAAAAAGCAACATCACTTATTCCAACTTCGTGTACAACTTATAATGCTAAATACAAATATAGGAAGAAAAACTGCAGCTCTTAACAGAAGCATTCACTCAGAAAATAAAATACGAAAGAAGTATAAAAGTCTGATAGAAGATATTACAGAACATGACATTGGTTATTAGTTTTCTCATCCTTTTATCACACTGCAGCCAATGCTGGTCACATCTCAAATATGCACACAGTAGAATTAAGAAAGATCCAGAAATGGAAAAATTAGGAATGAAATAAGTCTTTTATGAAGAGGAACTGAAAAGGGGCTTGTTTACATTATGAAAGAGCTGGAAAATATACAGGACTATCCCTGAGACAAAATGAGGAGCACATATCTCGAAAAAGAAGAGCTAGGAGGTCCACCACAAAAACCAAAAGGCAATAAATTTGAAAGCAAGAAAATCTTTGTCATTCGGAATAGTTAGCCTGAGGAGCTACCAAGGTACAGGGCTTGACATGAAACTGGGAAGATGCAGAAAACCACCACCTCGACTAAGAGCACTTGGTTTTCCTGACCATGAGCCACACAGTGAGATCTTTTCATGTGGGACATGCCATGTATATCCCTCAGCGGCAGGGAGGGGGTACGAGGCAGCCCAGAACTGTTAGGACAGCAGGTATCTCACAGGTTCTTCCCCGCTCCCTCAGGCCCAAGCTGGTCTACGTGCACCTCTAGAGCCAGGCAGACCCAGTGCTGGCATCGCTGGCAGGGCCAGCGGTTTATTTTTCTGAAGCTAGACCTGGACTCCCAGGCACAAAGATGGCACCAGTGTTACTTACAAACTGTACCAGACATCCTTGGTCTATACATTTACTTTAATACAATAATTTACAGAACTGTAATATTAAATATAACAAGAATAAATAGTCTGGAAAGGACAAAGACCACTGAACAGAAGCAAACTCCACTGAGAACGAACGGGAACCTTTCATGAGGGCAGCTTTTTGCCTTGCAGTAATAATGAGGGATTTGAAAGACTGTTCTGGGATGTGGCTCGAGATTTTGGACTATTTTCTTCTGATTATAAATGAGTGTTATGACATATAAATAAAGCACCCAGTTTGCTGGCACGAATCAAACAGCAGATGCCAATAGAGAAACTGTTAAAAATGAAGGTGCATTTACAGAGATGGTAATTAGTCCAACAACCTTCAACAGCGTCATTCAGAGCCTGGCAATGAATTCAAAGTCAACTCTCATAAAATAAACTGGAGTACAGGGCAGAACTGTCAGATCAATACATAACGGCATCATATTAAGATGGATACATTTAAACAGTGTTTTTAAATGCAAAGATCAGTCTGGGAACAAAGTACAGAGAACATCCCCATAAAGTGGGAGATCATATTTTGAAAAGCAGCAAATCTGAAATTGAAATAGAGATCACAATGGGAAAACAGCTAAGTCTGACTTACCTGTGTCACGCTAAGGCTCCAGGAGCCAAAGCAGCTCTTGAACTTAAACAGATAAGTGACTAGGAAAAGCAGGATGATTTTCTTTATATGGTTTATATATATTTTATATGCACTAGTGAAATCCACATTTGAATACTGAATAAAGCTGTGTGATGTACAATTCACAAAAGAGCCAAGAAAGCAATTCAGATATCTGAAAAATATTGTCCATGAAAGTTGTGAATAATTCAACATGTTTAATGAACAAAACCTAATGCTGAGTGTTGACACTATTATGATGTTTAAGTATATTCCATGTATGTACAAACATACTCAAAAAATACCAAGTGCAAAAAACAAAACACAAGATGGTGGACAAAAGCTTGCTCCAGAGAAATGGCAGTACAAAGTGTTACCATGCAATGTGTCAGTTACGAGCACAGATGAAAATCTGCATCCTAGAAGGCGCTTCTAGGACAGCCTTCATCCCATGCATTCACGACAGCCTGTCACAAACAAGGTACAAACAAGGTACCTACAGCACGAAAGAGAGAGGCAAGCGTGGCCATTAGAAAATCTTCCTATCCTTCCTTGCCCCAAGACACTTTTGGACCTGCCTAAATCATTCTTAACAGCTATTTCTCTAAGTTCTTAAAGCCTCCAGTGATGAAGACTCTACAGGCAGTAATCCTATTTTTACTTTACCATACGTTGCCAAATTGCTAGGACAAATTGCATATTGTCTTTCTGAAAGACCTAAGTTATTGGGCTCACAAAAGTACAGCCATTAGTGCCTTAAAAATATAGGTGTCAGATAGATGGTCCAAAGGTCTCTTTTAGCCATTAGATCCATTAATGACACATCCATTACTAGTTCGAAACTGGATACTTTGGTCTGATTCAGTATAACAAGAGTTCTTATGCTCATGTAAGTCATAATCACTAAACTGGTATTGGAATCTATCTGTAACATACTTTATTTAGCTCAGCCTGAAGTGAAAAGCCACACATAACAGACACTAGGCAGTTTCTAACTGTGCTGAAGAACACTAAGCAACATGTTTGTAACAGGCCACACCAGACAGCAAATGCAGGGCTAACATTTTTGAAAATCAGAAAAGTTATAGCCCATACTATTTCCAATCCAAAATGGACTGCATTCTTCTACCAGACCATTTACTTAACCAGTGAAATGACCTGTGCAGGCTCTAAATGGTAAAAAGGCACCACTTCATCCATGAGAAAGATATCCCTTACAGACATCCTGTGCATTGACTGAGAAAAATAGGTGGATGCAGCTGGATATTTAGCAGGGGAAGTAACAAGGACAAGAAGAACTAATAGTAAGAATGAATCCAATGTCAGCAGGCATTGGAGAAACCTACCAGCTGGACAGAGCTAACTGCTAACTTAAACCTGCTGTGAGAGGCTGTGAGAGGTAACTCACAAATCAATAGTTCGCAGTGAGAACTAATCACACTTACTCTTAGCCAATGGAACATGAATTTCTGCAATTTTTCATTCTTTCCTCTACCAGGCTTAGTGTTAGCTACTGCATTCCCTCCCCTTGCTCTCCCTGAACTAGTCTGCTTGCCCAGCTTGGCTCCCTCCCTAACCACACACACTTCTGGCACATGAAAGTAGCAGGCTTAGTGGGGAAAAAAAAAAAAAAAAAAAAAAAAAAGGACAAGATCAATAACAGCCAGGAAGCAGCCAAGTCACACAATACCAATATCTTCCAGATGTCCAAAGCTAAACATTATCCAATCCCAATAAAAGTGACCAACACCTTCCTCCCACCTAGAACAGGTCACTTCTGAAAGAGCTAAACCTACCTGTACCTCACTAGGTAGATGATAAATGCCTGGAGTCACATGTATATGGACCAAGAGAAAACAGGAAACTTATCCAGCAGGATGGGGCAGGAGACCAGATATTATGTCATGATGAATTAGCAGGAGATACTTTAACTGAACTGAAGCAGGAACAGCTTTAACACAGCAGCCCCAGGGTGCATCTGGATCCAGCTCTGAAATGAAAAAGTACATATTGAGTATGAGAGAAGCAATACTCAATATAAGTAAAACTTCAACTTGCCAGTATAGTACCAATCCATGTGACACTTCACAAGCTGCACAACTGAAAAAAAAAAAAAAAGAAGAAAAAAAAAAAAGGGAGACCAAGAATGAGCAGGAAAGAAAAGTTGCACATGACACAATGACTAAGGACTTCTCTGCGTAAGAAAATGCAGAGGGATGCACATCCATGTTGCCAAGACACGGTACTTTTGCTCAGGCACCAGGCCATTCTAACAGGCTATTCAACTTTTAGACTGGAATCAGCTTGTACATTGAGGAACTGAGAAAACATGAAGAAAATGCAATGTTTGTTTATTCCTGTAAACAGAAACACTCAAATAAAACACATTCACAGAAAAGCTAAGGTTGGAAGAGACTTTTGGTGACTCCCTAGTCCAACTGAGAAGCAAGATATCTTCTCACACAGAAGATATATTTTGCTTTTATATCTCAGGTATATTTCTGCTGTTTGATATCCCCTACAACCCTGGCAAAAGCAGGCTAATTCAGGAGCTTTAACGAAGTTGACTTGCTTTCACTCTTCAAAAAAGTCATCTTTAAGAGCTGTCACCATACCTCCACATTTTAGCAGCACTGTTGGCTGCCCTGAAAGTCTGGTGGGAATCCCACAAATCCAGTGCACTGTTATGTAGCTTATACGGCTGCATAATCATGACAAGTCCCAGAGAAGATTAGACAGGGTAAGAAGGAAAAGGCAGGTGCTCTTTAGCTCAGTTGAGCCAGCAAGACCTGTGTGTACAGAGCTCTGCTTCTTTGGCAGTGCCCTGCTGTAGTTGATGCAGGAATGAAGCACCACAGCATTCACAGTAAGTGCACACCAGTCAGAAGATCAGAGGCAGATGTTCAAAGAACAAATAGGTAAGAAAGGGCAATACATGCATTACAATGCCAGCCTAGGCAGTACTAGTCCACATAAGAGAGACAATTCCACCGGACAGTAACAGGCCTCGAGTCCTGCAGGCTCAAAACAAGGCAAAAACAAAGGGCAGGAAGAGGAGAAGAACGTGATGAACTGTGCTAAAAGAGAGACAAAGTCAGGCGAGGAGTGTCCAGGAAAGCTGATGCAGAGCACAGCAATGTGGGCAGTGCAGGTGAGAAGAGCTGGGCCAAGAGAGCAAGTCACAGCAGAACACATGGTGTAGGAAGGAATATTCCCAAGCAAGAAAACAGCCTCCTACAAGGGAGGCAGAAAGGCTACTGATCCATTGCACCACTGCAGGAGTGAAGTTGATCTCTTCTGGAAAGAAGTTTTGGGAACACATATTGCAGAGCTGCCCATTTGTCTAAGGTAAGTGATGCTTAAGTAACCCACCATCCCAGGCAGTGCTGGAAATTTTGGCCTCTGCTGAGGCTTTTCCTAACTATGGCAGAGAGGCTGGACTCATCCAGGGAAGGTTCTAGAAGTATTAGCAGGCAATGAACTAACTCCATGGGCCAGAGGGGACTACTGAGAGGGCACCAGTACAGTGCACAAGGACCACGGTTGGCGCTAGCAGTTCTCCCTCCTTAGCCTGTCAGCCCATTTCCACTGGAGTCCACTGGAGTCACCTGCAACATCAACCTGACATGGGCTCTCTGTGTGTGCCATGGATGGAGAGCACGTGGGAGACCCCAGGAGATGGAGGAGCGGTCACCAGCAGCCTGAGTGCAGCCGGGGGCCAGTCGGTGCAGGCAGGGGCTTCGGGAGACCCTCTCAGCGCCATGGGGAGCACTAGTCTCCCACAGACGGTGATCAGCCCCTCCGGCACACGGGGAGCCTCGGGACTGTGCATCAGCCCCTGCGTCTGTGGCTCACAGGTGCCGGGCTGATGGACCGCGCCGCGCGGGGCGCCGCAGCCGGGCGGCTCCGGGAGCCCGCAGGGCGCCGCGCTGCGGGGGCCGCTGCCGGCCCGGACAC